CCCCCCCCCCGGCCCTGGTCCCCTCGCCATGGTACTAAAGCCTCCAGAAAACCAGCACGGATGGAAGAGAGGAAACCCCTCACGAGGAGACTCTACGCCACTTGACCCGGAAGGAAGAGAGACATCCCTCGGTGGACCCCCACTGAAGAAATAATGAAAAAAAGGACAGTCAGTGACGAGTGCCACCGAATGACCGGCTAACGAGTAACTATCTCTCGCTATAGAGCTGCCCCGGTATTGTCACTTGTTTTGTGGAGAAGAGTTTTTTGGAGAGAATTGTGTAGAGAATTAAATGATTTTGATTAGATGGGATTTAGGGAGGTGAATTGTGTGGAGGAAAATTCTTTTGGACCCAGGATTGAGGATGGAGAAAAGAAGAGTGCAAAGAAGGACAATCTGGAGAGAGAGCACGGAGACACTTTGGCGGCAATCACCGCGAGTACCTCCAAGTTATTCCCCTGCCCCAACGAAGTTTACCCTGCCCCTTATAATAAGTCCCCCTCCAACGGTGAACCTCGCCATATCATTCCTTTTGTCTTTCTTTGTTTTATTGAGTTTAGGAGTCATCGGGCAACCGCCCCGTTCATCATTACTGGACAGTGGAATCGATCCCCTTCACTTCACTCCTCCCTTTTCCGATTAACTTCACCCCTTTTTTTTTATCTAAATTTAGTCGTGTTGCCGCAAGCTGCCTGCCCTTATCCCTTCCTCTCGTGTAAGTTAATATCAGGCCGAAAAATCATTCATTTAATGTGATTATCTTCATAGTTAATTTGATTGTTACCAAGGGAAACATAATTAGTTTTTCTTATCAATTCTCCACGAGTCAATCATTCCCGCCTCCCCCTTAGTAACAGCAATCTCATCGCCAGTCAAAATCAGAGGGTGGTTCACATGAGTAGTAAGTGGCCAGTATTCGGGAATTTCCCACGCTCCCTCCCCCCTCTTTTCCAGGAAATGGACGTGCACGTCCAGGTATATCCCCCCCCCCAGGCGGTATTGGGTAGAAGCGTGTCTAGACACGTTCATCCTTTTGCCCAATAAAGAAAATTGTCTTTAAAATATGGCTGGTCATGCCCTTATCGCGATTTTCTTAAAAAGTACATGTCGTCCGGCAATAGGCTTTCACACTAGGCGCCGGCCTTGGTTTTTTTTAAAAGATAGATACGGACAATAGACATCCGGCGGAATGCGGGTGGTGGGTGGGAAAAGGGGGATTAGATGGTTTTTTCCAGGGTGGAGGTTTTGTAAATTATTAACACGATAATTACGAATAATTTTTTCTTTAATTGATTAGAAAAGTATGATCTACAGTTTAGAACTACATATGACTTTTTCTTTTTAATTATACACATGTATAAAATTCTAAAATCACCGTTATCTTAGGTATAATGCATTTTTTTCTAATATGAGGGCATTCGGTATTGCCCTCCGGCAAAACCATCTAGTTCGTCATAGCATAAATGATACATTTCGCCAAACAATTGATATAAATATCCCAAATTGGCATCAGGGTTTGCACGCTGAAGCTCATCTCGGGCCAGCAGGTATATCTCCTCGAAATTATTCCCGATGCGATAGTGT